CACAGTCCAGTGCCTCTGTTTTGTATAGAAACCCCTCTATTTTAGGTTTAATTGCGTTTTAGGCCTCGATTTTAGTGTATAGGCCCTTAGAAAAAATATATTTAATTGTAGAAATGTCCCTGAAAATGGTTTTGTTCATAACTTTCTCATTTTAGGTCCGATTAGAGTGATCTTCACGTTCATGTGTTCATAGAAATGAGTAGATTAGTTTTATAAGTGTTTCTCTATATGTTTCTATTGCATGATGTAATGTTCTAATAGAAATATATCTTTCTTGCATGTGATGATTGTCTGGATATCTTGTTTGGTGATGGTTATGCGTATAGAGGGTGAGGTGTTCGAGGAACAGGAGTTTGAGGAGCAGTACCAGGATCAAGCTTGTGAGCAAGGCAAGTATAGTCTATGGTTTCTTTGTTACCCAGCAATCTTTAATCACTTTATACATATGCATGTGTCTAAATTTGATACACCCTAAGGACATGCCTAGAAATACTTGATCTATATTCCTTGTTACCCATGGGAGGTTTTGCATAATAGAAGGATAAGTTTTGCTACGATCAACAAAGGCTTAATTGTAATCTTGACTAATGGATATATGTAACAATGGATAAAAGATGCTTTTTAGCAACTTAAAGGGGGCTAGGGTATGGGTCTTTTTATACTCGAGTTGCTCTTCGTAAGGACTCGTACTTAAAGCGGCCACCCAGGAGGTCCGTACAACCTTAGGAATCACATGGCTCTGATCTTAGCTGTATAACTAGTTTTCTCTAGCTCGTTAGTGGTTACCGAAAGGCGCAAGAGGGGGGCCTAGGTTGCAGAATGGCTTCTTGCCTATCAAGATGTGTGTTGGGCTACGGTCAGGGTGTGCCAGTCTTGAAGGGGGCCTCCATTAGCCTAGCTACTGAAACCTCGTGGCTACTAACTTGTTAGGGTAATTAGTGAAAGGCTTCGTAGTGAGACCCTACCTACTCACCTTGGAAGTGTTAGGGGATCGACGGGCCCTAGGCAAATGGGAATCACGATTCAGGGTGAAAGTGTACACACTCACGGACACGAGTGGCCTGGATCCTTTTTGTATAGCCAGATATGTGGTTGGATGGGAGATATCTTTAATATTGATGTTTATAATTACTCTTCACATGGGAAAGGGTTTTCTCACTAAGTTAGTAACTTAGGCGTTAAATAAAACATGATCAACTAAAATGCTGACCGCTTTAACCCATGTCAAGTCTTTGAGCCTTACATCCCCATAGTTATACTTGTTGAGCATGGTGAGCTGACGCTTGTCGTTGTCACCAATAAAAATCTCGGATGGGTACCAGATGGTGAAAGCTATGAGGAGTTTCCCGAGGACGTCTAGGACCACTGAGGAGGACGTACCACCAGTCGGTGTCCCCGTGGGATGGAATTTTTATAGCTTTTCTACATATCCGCTGTAATAATGCCGTTGGCAATGATGTGAAAGACATGTTCATGAGATGTAATAAAGTTATAATCGTTGTTCGTGCTATGATATCACTTCAATTTGTATTTACATGTGGTTTGGGACTTCCTAGGCCCACATATATTCACTCCATAGTTTTATTTATAAAACTGGGTGTTACAATCATACTTTGGGATAGTCTGATTTTCTATTTTCGTGTGACAAAAGCATTGATTTCAATTGAAATTCATACAGAATAGCCTTTCTTTATATGCTCTTTACTTTATCGTGTATAGAAAATTAAGTCCTATAATCACAGAAGAAGGTACTCATACCTTTGTTCTACGAACTGGTACGGCTCGGCTGCAAGCCGCCTCTGCCGCGGTACACACCTGATCACGCGGACGCCAATGCCACCACGCTCCACGCCATCAAAAGGACGCCTGAGCCACCATAGCAGACCGAGGATCCTCCGCCTCCATCGCCGCCGCCGCCGCCACAAGTCCAGCAGGCACAGATTTGTTTCTACTTGTAGGGGATATATCCTATTTAGGTCAACCTGTAACACAGCCAATAGGATACTATAGCAACTCCAAAGAGATGTCAGCACAGCCAGGCGTCTAGCACAATGGTAAAGATGCTCCAATCCTTGGTCCAGATCCCATGTTCGACTCCTAGGTATCAGACCTTTTTTATGAAATTAAACCCCGACGGCACACATGATACAAGTGACACGCAAACCGTCGGGTCCCACAGGTCAGATGGAGATAGAGAAAGGTTACACATGACATGTAAGCTGTTGGGTCCCAAAGGTCAGATGCAGAAAGACCGAGCAGAGACTTTTATGACGAATTACAAGTGTCAAGTGACACGCAAGCCATCAGGTCCCACAAGTCGGATGGAGATGGGCCATCGGGTTCCACAGGTCGGATGGAGATGGAGAACGGTCCCACAGGTACACGTGTCATGTAAGTCATCGGGTCCCATAGGTCGGATGCTGAAGGGTCCTGTATGTATACGTCAGACGGGGAAAGGACCGAGCGGAGACTTTTATGATGAATTGCAAGCATCACATATGAGTAACTACAGGTCCCACAGGTACATGTCGGATTGAGAACGGTCCCATAGGTACACGTCGCATGGAGATATGTTCGAGCGGAGACTTCTATGATGAATTGCAAGTGTCACGGATGAGTAACTGTAGGTCCCATAGGTACACGTCGGATGGAGAAAGTATCGTGTGGAGATCTATGACAAAGCCGTTCATTATAGATCAAATATTGTTCATCACATATGTGTAATTAGTTCAATGACGAAGCCCTGTTCGTCACAGTTTTAAAGGAGATCGTCACAGATGAGTCGCGCGAGTGATCTGTGATGAAACCATGCGCTCTTCTATGATATTTTTTGTGACGATGCCTGATTTCATCATAGAAAGGGAGGGTTGTAGGATCATCACCACCGATCTATGATGAAACGGAAAAATTCGTCATAAAACGCTCTTCTATGACGGTTTTGAATTCGTCATTAGCATTTTCGTCATAGAAGAGGATATTTCTAGTAGTGTTTACATTGTGTACTTTGGTTGTGTGCTTTACCTTTCTAACTTAGTTGATAGGATTAGAACCTAGGTTGCATAACTTTTTTGTAGTAGAGATAGCAATACACATAGCAAAACTTTAGTTGCACATTTAGATAGATTATTTTTTGCATAAGTTTTGACTAGGAGAAAAATAGAGGCCATAATTAGAACTAGTGTTTAATTAACCCCCTCTTAGACGTCACCACGTCACGGTCCCTACACCTCGTGTTCTCATCCTCGTTGTCGTCCTCCTTCTCCTCATCATCACCGACGTCGTCCTTTGTGGCACCATAGGCATCATCAAAGAACTGCTCCTCCTTGAAGTCCTAGGGAGGACTTCGATCAGGAGAGTTGTAGTCATCACTGGAGCCCTTGTCGCTAGAGGGCCAGCCTTGCTAGAACTCATCCTCGTCAGTAGAGGAGTCGTTGTCGCGAAGTTTGAAGAAGTCGACCGATTGTGGATGTTGGACGAAGGGGATGAAGAAAGAAGAGGGGTGGTATCAGAGGGCAAGTGGCGTGAAGAATATGTAGAGGCTTCTACCTACAAAAATAATGGTGATGAAAGGGCATTGGTAGTTGTGACAGTACTAAACAACCACAAAGACTGCTCACCGCCGGTCCACCACTGGCCGTTTAGGACCGGTGGCCATAATGGCTATCACAGTTAGCTCTATGTAAAATCCAGTAGAGCTACAAACACTAAAGATCACCACTAGATCTAATGGTTACCGGGCAATGGTTTAATTGGTATCCACGCCTCGTCGTCCATCCAACCGACGGTGAAACAATTTCACCACCGGTGATTACATAACTAACGGTGATAATGGTGTTGCGATAGCTCATTCTGTAGTAGTGTTCGCTTTGCTCCTCTCATCTTCTCCAATGTTGAGCACTTGATCAAATTGTGGGCAACACCATCTCTACCATGGATGTTACCTTGCTCAACTCTTGGTGTGGACTTCACCTAGCTTAATCAACACTTAGCAAAAGGTTAGTCCATAAGTTGTCTCAATTACCAAAAACCAAATATGGAGCTTTCACTGAGACTCTTTCGTAATGCTTGGAAACAACCCTAACCAAGAACTCTCGGTCAAATCTCCGGCGAGCCTGACAAAGAGCCTCGGCCAAGTCAACAGGGCAGATGGTCTTACCGCGTGTCCAGTCTTACCACTAGCCTCTATATAGCCCCTCTAGTGCTAGTTAGCTTGGCTGACCAACCCATACCTATATAGCCCAACATGCCTCGTAGTCAGCTTTGCCTATAATAGTATCTCATAGTGTAATGCCAGTGACATAGTATGTTGAAGTATTTTTACATATGAATTTAGTGGTGCTGAATTTGTGTGATTAACAAATGTTAAAAAGTTTAAATCTGAGGGTCTATTTAGAACATAGGAATTTCGCAGAAAATATAGAGAAATTTCAAAGAAATCACTTAATTTTCTCACAGGAAAAACATAGAAAAAAATTGTGCACTTGAAAGGCGGCCTTAAGGTTGCGTGCACCTTATATTAGGAAAATTGAAAGAAAGAAGTACAATGCCATAAATCTTGTGTAAGAAAAATTACAGAGGAAGAGGATGGATCCACGTGGTACGGAGCTGCGCGGATGGATTGGACCCATGAGCAGCAAACGAGAACGAAACTGGCGACACCTGCGTGCTTACAACCAGGCACCAGCGACCCCGACCGCGACGACGCAACAGCATGCAGGAACTCAGACCGGTCGGACTCCACGCCGACGCACCGAAAAAAAAGAGAAGAAGATAGCAGCAGAGGAGGCGAGGCGAAGGCCCAAACGTTCGGGGGCGAGCGGGATTTGGAAGCTGCGCAACGCGCATCCCAAATCCCCCAATCCCGACGCCCACCCGACCCCGTCGCCAGATCTCGCGCCCCCTCCCCGGGGCTCGATCGGATCAGCGGCGGCCGGCGATTCGGGGACGGAGAGATCTCGCCGAGGCTTGGGCCGGGCCGGGCTGGTGGGAGCCGGGGAGCCATGGCGTCGGCGCAGGCGCCGTCCTCCGCCGCCGCGCCGTCGCGCAAGGATCATCTCGAGGCCGGGAAGAAGCGGGTAGGTCCGTTGTTGCCTGTTGCTTGCGAGAAATGTAGTCCTTGTGTACCCGCAATCGCTGATTGGGCAATATGTTAGGAACGGTGTAGACAAACTAGGGGCATCCTGTCGATTAGCGCGATGACTGGTGTGCCATTCAATCGGTTTTGCACAGGGTAGAGAAGCCAAATGCTATCAAACTTGTCTCAGGTCGTTTTGCGTGTGGTAGACAAGCCAAACGGTAACAAATTTTGTCTCGGTTGTTTTGCTTGCCGTACAGATTTCAAATGCATGAAATTTGCCACGTTACTTCAGGCCCAGTTTGCAACTTTTTGAAATTTAGCTGTTTAGATCTCGCTTGAACGCCGATATGGCAAAAAAAAATTCACTAGACATTAGCTCTGGAATAACAATGTTCTGTTTTCTCTGATCCAGCTCGAGCAGTTCCGCAAGAAGAAAGCGGCGAAGAAGGCCACTGCAGCTAGCGCAGAGCAGGCAAAAGCGCCTGCTCTTGATGTAGTGGAGAGCCTTCCTCCAATTGCCAATACTGGTAGCTTGGAAGATGGGCCGGTGTCTGATGTAGAGCCAAACCAAGCGAGCACGTCTTTGGTGCCATCAGCTGTATATGAGAATGGCCCAGTGAGTGCTTCCAGAGGTGCAGAATTCCCGTCAAATGGTCCTGTCACTGTAAATACTTCTGTTGGTGTTAGTAATGTTAGACCCCAGCAAGATGCTGTTAGTGATGGAGGAAGTAAGTTCTATGGGAACTTAAGCTTCTCTGACCTTGTTAATGGTCATCATGAGAACTGGAGAGGTGACGAAGCCCGTAAAAGGGACGAGCACAGCCCTGACAAGGATGTGCAATCAACATCTAAATTAAGTGCTTTTGGGAACAACAGCAGTTTAACTTTACCTTCTTCTGACAACGCGACGAGTTGGGGAAGAAATTCTTTATCAAGTCAAGTACATGATACCGAGCAATCTAGTTCATATTCATCCAGCACCCTTTTTGGAAAGTCTGAAAATGCCTACACTCAGGATTACTCCACAAACAATGATATCTTTGGTCAGTTGAGAGGTAAATTTGAGGCCTTATATTCATATATGCTGAAACTACAATATACAATATTTAATAACTTGAGCCTGGGGCTCTTCTGCTCTTCATTTTTTCCTATGTAGCTACCTCCAAAGACTCTTCCCAAGTGGAGCAATCTGTGTATGCCAGCACTCAGGATTATGGCAATGCCTTCAATAGTTCAAGGACCCCTGATACTGTAGATCATGATACAAATGTTGGAATAACTCGGACATCTGCAGATTCCACACCTGTTAATTTTGAAAGACAAGATCCTTTTCTGTCATCTGGTTATCCAACTACATACACTCGATCAAGGCCATCGTTTCTTGATTCGATTGGAGTACAAAGAGCCCCTCCAACAACTCAAGCTTCATATAGGGAGCCTGCAAAGGCTAATCAACTATCCAGCAATTCATATTATCAGAGTTCATTTTTGCAGCAATCAAATCAACAATCCACTGGAACTAATGCTACAGATATTTCTCTTGCATCAGAAAGTCAGAAATATAGTCATGAAAAGGGGTCATATGGCAGCTCCAACCCTCCTGATTTCTCACTTCCCAAAGAAGAAAGAAGTATACAGCATGGTAATCAAACATTCCAAAACTTCACAACTCATGGGAAAGATGATGATTTTGCAGCATTAGAGCAGGTGATGAACGTTTAAACAGCCCCAGCCAGCATACGATTTGTTACATATATTTTCTTGAGAATATGATATTATTATACTGACTAGAGCTGTCATGGTATATAATAGTCATAATACAAAGAATCTAACTGTTTCTTTGTATTTTCTGATTTTAGATTTTATGCTACTAACATGAAGCGCTAACTGTTGGCCTAGTTGTTGTTTTATAGTAAACTAAAATCTCTGAAAAAGGAACATATCTCCAATATCTACTCTGTGGGTTCACTTAATGAGTGATACTGTACAACTTATAACTAGTCACTTCTTTCTGAGTTACTGTTATTATGTGCCTCATAATTGTTTCCAGACTCGTAAATGGCACTATTATGTGTTCTTTGTTGTCAAGATCAATTAGTTAGCTTTACCTTGGATATGTATATTTTGACTTATCTAAACATTTATCTCTGAAGTCTTTATCATTAGGAAGTTAGTAACTTGTGCTGAAAAGATTACATATATAATTTTTTTGTTTAGGCCCATCGACATACTACTAATAGCTTCTCTGGTTTGGATGCCAGCTCATTGAAGATTTGACAAAAGAGAAGTTTTCCTTACAACGTACTGTTCAGAAATCTCAAGAGCTAGCAGAAACTTTGGCCACAGATAACTCTGCATTAACTGATAAGTTCAACCAGCAGGTCTGTGCAAATTTCCCTGATGGTTATCAGAATAGTTTTAAAATGGATTTGTATCATGAAATTTGTCACTGATGACCCATAGATAGGATGATATAAATTCACAACATAGGGAATATCTCCCCCCACCCCCGTCTTACTTCTAGTAAAATGGACAAGGCTGTTTGCTTAACTTTGAAACTAGCATCTTCCATGATTGATTAAACAAAAAAAAAAAATCTGGTTGTGCTGTAATTTATTAGATGCTAAACTCACCGGTATAGCTGTCAGAAAAAAGTGATTGCCTGCCCAGTTCCTCATTTTATTGTTGGATTCAACTTCTTGGGTAGTATATATTCGCAGAATCCTAGCAGTTAAACTTAGCAGTAATAACAGTGCTATAAGGGCAGCTAGAACTAAAGCCACAGGTGATAAGTTTGATCGTATTAAGCAACCCCAAGACTTAAACCAATCAGTTATCTCTAATGCTTGATCAATACTCATCTATATGTTTATATATATTACATCTTGCTTTAATAACGATGAAATAAATATTGATACATGTGCTTGTATCTGGTATTAACCAAAATTAGTATACTGTATGATCCTTATTTCATAATTTTTAAATATCAGGCACATATAATCAGCCAATTGACATCTGACATGGAGAGATTGCAGGAAGAAATTCAAGCTCAACTGGTCAGACCTACTCTACCTTTTCTAGTACTTAAATTCGGGGAAAATGTATTCTCAATATTAGAACTAAGTAACTGCATTGCCTGTTATGTCAATATTGATATGGATTGCTTGGGGAAATCGGGGTAAAGCTCTGAGGACTAGGATAAAGTCTAGATCACTCTTGTTGGCACCATGCTTGATCTTGGTCATCAGGAGGTTCTAATAACTGTCTATCTCTTTGCTTAATCCCCTAGCACTAGATACTATTTTATAAGAAGAATGAGGTTAACATGGCTATTGGACTCAATCTAATCTAACTTTGCCTTCAAAGTCAACCACTCAAACAAAAGTAACACAAACTACTTGTACCTACCGTCTGTTCTGTGGTTTTCAATTATCAAACATCCAGGGATTTCTTGGATCGTTATCTTGTACATGGTATGCAAAATGTGTTTGTCTTTTGGTGGCTGACATGGTCATGAACTGGAGTCAACAACAACAACAACAACAAAGCCTTTAAGTCCCAAACAAGTTGGGGTAGGCTAGAGTTGAAACCCATCAGAAGTAATCAAGGTTCAGGCACGTGAATAGCTGTCTTCCAAGCACTCCTATCTAAGGCTAAGTCTTTGGATATATTCCATCCTTTCAAGTCTCCTTTTATTGCCTCTACCCAAGTCAACTTCGGTCTTCCTCTGCCTCTCTTCACGTTACTATCCTGGCTTAGGATGCCACTACGCACCGGTGCCTCTGGGGGTCTCCGTTGCACATGTCCAAACCATCTCAACCGGTGTTGGACAAGCTTTTCTTCAATTGGCGCTACCCCTAATCTATCACGTATATCATCGTTCAACTCGATCCCTTCTTGTATGACCGCAAATCCAACGCAACATACGCATTTCTGCGACACTTAGTTTATTGAACATGTCGTCTTTTCAGTGAGGCCAACATTCTCGCACCATACATATAGCAGGTCTAATCGCCGTCCTATAAAACTTGCCTTTTAGCTTCAGTGGTACCCTTTTGTCACATAGGACACCAGACGCTTGCCGCCACTTCATCCACCCTGCTTTGATTCTATGGCTAACATCTTCATCAATGTCCCCGTCCCTCTGTAGCATTGATCCTAAATATCGAAAGGTATCCTTCCTAGGCACTACTTGACCTTCCAAACTAACATCTTCCTCCTCCCGAGTAGTAGTGCCGAAGTCACATCTCATATACTCAGTTTTAGTTCTGCTGAGTCTAAAACCTTTGGACTCCAAAGTCTCCCGCCATAACTCCAGTTTCTGATTCACTCCTGTCCGGCTTTCATCAACTAGCACTACATCGTCCGCGAAAAGCATACACCAAGGGATGTCCCCTTGTATGTCCCTTGTGACCTCATCCATCACTAAAGCAAACAAATAAGGGTCATGAACTGGAGTATGCTGAAAAAATTGTACTCATTTAAATCCACAGCAACTGATTGCTATGAGCCTATAAAACAATTGTCACTAGGTCAGCTGTGTTATGTTTGATTTTTCAGTGACCTCTCTGTTAGTTAGGCATAACGTTTGTGATTAGCACTATATATCAGTATTTGCTGTTTAATTTTTGTCATCTCTGTGGTACATCTGTCTTCATATACTGTTAGAATCCTTATATTAACCCTATTTATACAACAGCTGGCGCTGGAGTCTGTCAGGACCGAGTATGCTAATGCACAACTAGAATGCAATGCTGCAGATGAGAGGGCAAAAGTGCTTGCAGCTGAAGTCATTCTACTAGAAGATAAGGTGCTTTATTATCTTCTTGCTTATTTTGTACCGTTATGAAGCTTCTTGAAAATGCCTGGCAGCATGGCAGATTGTTTAGAGTATGTTATGTATGCAAAGTGTTCACATGCCTGTTCAGTGTTCACATGCAGTACAGGAACTAAACCTATAATTTGTAATCTTTGGGAAATGAATTGTATAGGTACGACCATATAGGCGGGGTTCATCGTATCATTGTAATGCGCGGCTTGATACTAAATGTTTTGTTGCTGAGATCTTAAGGATGTTGAACTCTCTCTTTTCTACAGCAATATCGGGTGCATTGTATTTTTTCGAGTTCTTCTTAATGCAATGATACACAGATTTTTGCGTATGCGAGAAAAAAATTATTGTTCCACATCCACTCTTTATGCTAGGCACGATCATGCTTATTTGCCTATTTGGTCTTAATTTCATAGGCTAGTTTGACTCTAGCATTTACCCTGCATTTTTAGTGAAACTTGAAAATTATGCAAACTTTAACATTTTCAGCCAAGCCCAACTTAAGCATTGGCTCGTGGAAGTTTGATTTTTAATTTAATCTTGTAGGCTTTGAGACTGAGGTCAAGTGAGCTAAAACTTGAAAAGGAAATCGAAGGTTTACATTCTGAGATTTCTTCTTACAGGTGAAATTGTGTACTGATTTTACTAAGCCCCATGCTGCAATTGTATGACTGCCAAGATATTTGTGTTTAATGATATGTGAAATGGATCCTAACGAAGTATAACGATTGATTGAAATCCACATTTTTATCCACATTGGCATTTTTGAGGTGCTATGCAAACAAACATGTCATATTCACCTTAAAAAATACATGCCAGAATACCGTAAAAAAAAACATGCCAGAAACTACTGAACACATGAATTGAACTTCCAGGTATTGTAATGGATTTTTTTTTTACTATTTTTTCCTATTAATCATCTGCAGGCGCAAAGTTTCTAGTCTAGAAAAGGAGCGCCAGCATCTCCAATCTACTGTTGAAGCTCTTCAAGAAGGTACATCTTCTCATTGCGATCTAACACATATAATGTTTGAGCTCTCTTCTTTCTCAGTTGATCTCTGAAATTTTCCTCTAGTCAATCCTAGAGTATTTGTTTACATCTTGCATACACATTGATGTGCGCTTGTTTTTGTCTCGTGCGCTGATATGCCTATTTTTCGTTTCTCTTCTCTCTGTTTGGACAGAAAAGAAGCTCCTATACTCTAAATTGAGGAACATTCCTGTGAATGAGAGGCCAACAACTACTGTAGAGAAACCTTCAGTTGATAAAAGGGATGCATCTACGGCAACAGAGGATTTAGGTGTGAATACTAAGATCTCTTTATTTCTTTATCTATATCAATGAATATCAACTATATTTATGGATGCTCTAATGGGTTTATTACTTTATTCAGATACTGGGGAGCTCAGCTCTTCAGAAACGCTGACCAGCACTGTTGACACATTGGAAGATGCTGGAATTTCTGTTAGGCGTTCCAACATTACGTCTGATTTTCCTTCCTTGGAAGAGGTCTCATCTAGCATTCCGGATGATCAGCTTAGAATGATCGACAACATCAATTCTTTGATGTCAGAGGTAATCTCTTTTATTTTCATAAACGTGGAGCTATCCTTATACCAACCAGAATTTCTCAAATAACCTACTTGATTTTTGGTGTAAAAGCTATTGTGGTTATGATATAGTTTTTTCGTATTTGCAGTTAGCAGTGGAGAGAGAGGAGCTGCTGCGAGCACTGAGAATTGAGTCATCCAACTGCTCCAAGCTGAAGGTATTGTCTGCCTCTTACTCTCTTATGCAGCATCTAGTAATGTAGGTGAGATGCCTGTTTCATGACATAGTTAAGCCCTGGGTCTATTGGAAAACATGTTTGCTGACCAACATGTGAAGCAAGACTTGTGTTACTTCTGTAATTGTGCATCTATTAATGCTGTTTACTCTTATATCCTGCAGGAGTTGAATAAGGACCTAACACAAAAGCTGGAGATTCAGACACAGAGGCTTGAACTATTGACTTCTCAAAGGATGGCTAACGCGAATGCCCTGGCAAAACCAATTGACACCCGCTCCATCAATGATGCAGCAATTTATGCGGATGAAGGAGATGAGGTAAGTGTTCTTCACCAAGTAATTTGGTAGTTGATCCTAGCACATAATCCTTGATGGAAAATTCCATGCTGTCACGTTGTGTCCCCAGAGTATGATTCCAGTGTTCTTTTTTTGTAGCTTGAATAAGAGTTAGCTAAGAAGACTGAACTTTACATATGCATATTAAGTTCATATCACCCTGAAAACTACTCCCTACATTTCAAATTATAAGTCGTACTGGTTTTTCTAGGTATCTAGATATAGCGTAAATCTAGGTGCATAGCAAAAGTTATGTATCTAGAAAAGCCAGGATGACTTGTAATTTGAAACATATGGGGTATCTTTGTAGACGTTTGACACTGGAATATGACTCAGGTTGTTGAACGGGTGCTTGGCTGGATAATGAAGCTCTTCCCAGGAGGGCCAAAGCGGCAAACCAGCAAACTTTTGTAATGAAAATAGAGCTCCTAGTATACCAGATGTTTCTTTCATTTAAGGCTTGTTTAGATGAAAGGGGTTGCTCTAGGAGCACCAAGTATTTAGTTCAAATTTGAACTAAATTTTAAGGAATCTGTTCCAAATTCCCAATATCTAAACATGCCTTTGTATAATCCTTTTGTTTGCCCGGTTTTGCTGATAGCATGGTGAGAAGCTGTATATTGGAGCCATTCAATGTAACCAATTCTTTTTTTGACAGAAGATACTGTACTTCCCTGGAGTATGGGGCTGCAGCCTGTATTGGCAAAGGAAAAGAATAGTCGTAAAGAATAGACCCTTTTGTATCCATTGAACATTTTCTTGCATTATACGAGTTGAATACGCAGCCTGTAATTGTTTACCATTCATTTGCACGTTAAACTATCAAGGGCCAGCTCACATCTCGACGCTGGTAGGCAGGCAGTACAGTACTGGTGGTAAAGTACTTGTCAACAACAGGTGACCCATAAAGATATCCAAACGGAAAATGGGTCTTCGGTAACTTCGGTAGTACTGTATCAACGTATACAAGAGATTTATTTTAGGTGTCAATAGAGATATAACCTAAATCTGAGTATTATCATCTCTCCTGAAGATCTATTTATAGAAAATGTTTTTTTTTGTGTCTTGTTGTTAGAGAAGATAAAAAATGGATATTAAACTCTTTGTCTGTAGCGCTATCCAAACATAAAATGAGTCTTGTATTTTAAGTACCGCTGTTGGAGATAGTCAGCCTGTTCGCTTGTTGGTTTCAATCAGCCCAAATCAACCAGCCAATAGTGTTTTTCTCTCACAATAAACCAGCACCATCCAGTCCAAATCAGTCCAGAAACCAACCAGCGAACAGGCCGAGTCTAAGAGATGGCAATGATACACGCGTTTCATGCTGCATATCACAGTATTGTTTAGTCTTCCGCCTTTTATTATTACTATGCAGTTGTGCCCAAAAAAATAAAGACCCTTATATATTATAAAAAAAAATCGTGCCTTTCCTGACCGCTCAATAAATTTTGCAACCCAAAGGCCGTCGAGGTCTGCTATGTCCATAGCTGCTCTGACGAAGAACTACAAATTTGCAACAAACAAAGGAGCAAAAGTCCGACAGAAATGGCAGAAACCCCCGGAAGGAAAGGTGAAGGTGAATGTAACCTTTGACGAGAGTGTTGTTTGCGTGAGTGTCGGGACAATCATAAGAAACAGTGTGGGGGTTGCTATAGCGGCTTCTCACAGCTACATTCCTCATCTGGTAGATGCGTCAATGGCGGAGGCCTATGCCTTGAAAGAAGGCCTGATGCTAGCACAATTTATTGGATGCAATCGGCCTATCCTCCAATCGGATTGCATGGGGGTTGTCGAAACGATTAAGGATGGAGGTTTCTCGGCAACATTAGCTGCGTCTCTGAATGATGAATGTAACATTATCTGGAATGGTTTTCAGAAAATATCCATTGAGCATTATAATAGGGATGCAAATCAGGTGGCGCATGAACTAGCAAGAAGAGCTATGCAATCTAAGCAAAATTATAATTGAGACAATGAGCCCCCTAGCTTTATTCTAAACTTTCTGATTAATGATGTAACCACACTCAATGAATAAAGCTTGATGATTTGATAAAAAAAAATTGCAACTCCTTCGGCTAGTACTGTTCCATGAAGCTTCATGCAAACTCAGGCTACTCAATTGACAACGGTGGTTGTGGTTCCAGTGTGGTTGGTGTCTTGTCCTGACTCCTGACCAGCGAATAGACGCAGCAGCTAAAGGAGACTACTTCCTGTTGTGGGTAGGAACGTTGTGTGTAGGGACGCTGAGATAGAACTTTGTGTTCTTGAAATCGTCTAGTAGCGGATTGTACCCATCTTTGGTCCTCGTCTTCAGCGGCAGGCCAAACTCCTCCATGAAGGCTGCAGTATCAAGCTGAATTTGCACGATGGCCGACACATCAGTTAGTCCAATACGCACAGGCAGCCTGCAGAGCATCGCTGGCATGCAGAAGGTGAGAACTTACTATGATCGTCCTCCTCTTCTTCACGGGTTTGAATGCGCCAGGATTCTTCTGCTCCTTTGAGAAGCCAGAGCAGTGATGGTCGATCTGCTCCAGGAGCCGGAAATCGGTTGGGAAGAAGATGTCCGCGTCACCCTGCCGAGTAAATACAAACAAGTGATGCGACACTAGTTTGATACAGGTCGAAACAACAGAGCAGTTATGGTCAATTGGCTCCAGACGCGAGAAAGCTGTTCGGAAGTAATAACCGCATCACCTTGGCATGCAACCAGGTTTGTTGGCTCATATACAGCACCTTAAGAGCAAGTATACTAAATAGCTGTAGGTGGGCTATATGCTGAGGTGGAAGAGAAAGAAGAGGAAAGAGAGAGGAGAAACGATCTGTAAGTTTATAGCCGGTTTAGACACAAGAACCAAGAAATTTTGTAAGAGAGATAAGTGGGCGATCATCATAGTGAAGAGCTAACTACCATATGGATTGGTTGAGAGATGGACTGCATAGATCCATATAGCCAGTAACAAACTGTATTATTAGCCTTGCTCTAAGAGCGAGTATAATAAAGGGGGCTGTCAACGAGCTTTATGCTGAGGTGGGATAGGAGAAAAGTGAGCTGTAGGTTTACAGCTACCTGATGCACGAGCTCTAAAAAGCATTGTGAGTATTAATGATGAAGCATGTCCTAGTAGCGTAGCCAACTGCTATATAGACGGGGTTGATAGATGAACTATAAATGTATGTATAGCCAGCAATTGGTTGTATTATTAACTATGCTCTAACATGGTAAAATGGTAATGCATAGCAGTATATTTGCTAAGAGTTTTTAGTGTGCCCCAGCCCCATCTGATGGTTTATTCTTAATTTGCTACTGCTTGGTTTGTTATGTCGCACTGCCGAATCCAGCTAAATTTGTTTACTGGTTCTAGTAAATTTCGCAGTTATAACCCAGAAAACTACCCTCCCAGCTGACTACTCCCTCCATCCTACAGTATTTGTTTATTATCTTAGGAGAAAACTCTCCACAATACTGTCCATTGAGGATATCAAGGGTGCACTTATTGTAGTATTTCCACTATCTACCACTAATTAAATGCTCCGGTAGAAAAGGCATGGTTGTATATAATATTATATTTACATTTATGGGTGCTCATTTCACATTGTTTTCTTTTTTCATGAAACTAGTACTTGGTCTGCGCATGGTGAGCTGTGGACAAGTATTGCAAAGCAAGGGAGTGATACACACAAATATGAAAAAGTAAGTGCTTTTGAAAAGCCATCCCAACGGTGGTCTTGGACAGCTAAGGTTGATAGATTGACTGACTATGGCATGTGGACACATGATCAAATACGCGAATAAAAGAAAAATGGCTATATGTGTACCTGAGCATCAAGGTAGTTGCGATGATCTGATGTCTTCCCATCCTTCTACAAGGGCAAAACAAGCTAAGTGAGATGATCAAAAGCAAAGATCATGATCCTCAATTGTGAATAAATTGGTAACTGTATGGCACGCAACAAAACTTGCAATCATTCTTACGGTAAGTGGCCTTTGAAGCCTAGTTGGAGAAATGAAGTAGTTAAAAAAACTGGAGCTTTGCATGCTTGATAAAGTTGTAGTATATCAGGACACTCACCTTTGACGAAACCAATGGAGCCCTGTCACCAGGTATGCTAACATCTGGAAGATAGCTGAAATCTGAAGCAATAAGGGACATACTCGGTAAAGCTTGATGTAGAGTATCCATTAGTTTCTGCGAAAGGAATTAAAGATCAGAAATAGTTTTCTGAGTCCCAGAACATCCATAAAGATCTAACCTCGCAAAGCTAGAGTTTTTGGAAAGGCATACCAAGCAGCCAGTCGGCAACCAAGCTCTACGAGGCTTTGGGAATACTTTTGATAGAACTCCTTTTGCAGCAAATGCTAGTTTTTCACTGACAGAAGCTTTGTCTTCATTCATGCCAATAATATCAACACAGCGGGAAATTAATGGGTCTTGTAGTGGCTTATAGACTTCAGAGACTTGTGAACTTTCTTCAGAAAAAAGGCATGCAGAACAGATATACATGTGAAATTAAGGATAAGTAGCTATACAATTTTCTAAAATAGCAGAAAAGACTTCGATCATTAATAATACCAAGTTACAGATATACATTCAGTATTTTAGTTAAAAAATAGCCCTAAGCACAGGGATGGCAGATATGTTCTACATAGGGAAAAAGAGGCAACCCTTCAATGATACTATAACTAAACAGTGAACTTTGTAACACAAAGTCGAGCATAACAGAAGCATGTCATGAGGACACTGTATAACAACACACAACCTTCCATCCCAAAGAACTTCCCCTGGTTTTTTCTATTAAGAATTGAAACATATTTTGCAATCACCATGCAAAATCATCAACCATAGACTAGTAGCAATGGAGTGACGGTTAAATGGTTTGATAAAAGGATCCTGCCAAATATTTGTATTGCGTAGTATATGATATGCCTGCTTCTTCAATCACATTTACTCAAGTCTAGAATTTTCCAATGTCCTCAGTTGAAAACCCACATAAACAATAAACATAAGAGCAAACATAGAACTGTGGTAGTACACGACAGAGGTTCTGATGGAAACACAAAAGTCACAAACCTGCCGTTTACTTTTTCAATCCACACTTCCATCCATGGAGAAACCTGATCTGGTGAATAGACAAGGTCATGTGGTAGATTGTCAAGTACCTGATATTCCATGGAAAGATAGTTACTGTTGCAGGCACCACTGTGGGTCTTCCTTTAGATGCAATGTTTACTTCGGAACATGATGAGCAAAAAGGGTTGCCAAGGAGGTTTTGTTTGCTATTATTTTTACAGCTAGTAGTTTCGTATTGTTTTGTGATCAGAATATTACTACAGAACTAAATTTGACATTCGTAGAAGTTCAAACATGGAGTGAAATGCCACACTTACACTTCTACAGAGCAGATAAATTCTGAAGCAAGTACATGCGTTTCTTAGCAGCATAGTATTTTGTATGCCAAAGCATGCAATACTTTTATGCTTTTAGATACAATGACTAAACTGGACACATATACTTCATTTCATAACGGGTGAAGGTGCATGACGATGTCATTGTGCTTCTTTGGTTTGCACATAAAACATAAGAACAAACACAGAAGCCCCAGCAGAACATACCTCAAGCAAAAGCACCCAACACGGATGAGGATCCTTGCGGCCTGCACAATAGAAAAGGAGACTTATATCAAATCATGTAAAGGTAGGTTGCCCTACACAGTGGGGAATAGCTTACCCCATCCAGGTCTGTTAATTGCATCCCGGTGCTCCACCGTAAACTTTGACAAATGGCTTTGCACTTCACCAACAGTTTCCAATTGCTTCTCAGCAAGAGAGGAGCTAATCTCTACTGAGCTAGCAAATGAAGATAAAGGCAAGGTCAAAGCATAAAGAGCACATGGCACAAAATGCTAGAGTGCCAAAAGCATGGCAGCACAAAGAGCAACAACTGCCAGTAATATCTATCTTTATATGGCATGCATGAACCCTATTGTTCTGAATTTCTGATATTGAAGCAAGAAATGAAGATACATATGCTTACATGTATTTCATATCATTGTAGACTTTTGGTGGTGCATTCAGCATCATGTAATCAAGTATGCACTTTGCGCATGTTCCAGAGCCACCACCAATCTCATATATCTGATCAGTACAAGATTCTGATTCATAAGCAAAATGGATGAAACATACTCCTTGATATTCATGGTATCAGAGGAAAGCAAATCCAGAGCATCATATGTGGGTAGAAGAGTAGAATGATGTGACAGGAAATCTTGAGATCACACCTTCAATGGGACTGAAAGATTTGCTGTACGCAGAATCGATGCTGCTATTGCATAGGCATACCATGGCTGCACCATCGAGGGAAAAGGGTGCATCAGTGACCAAACTGAAAGAACCTCATTCTCTTCAATCGCTAAAGCAGAGAAGGTACCTTAAAGAGCTCCACGGGAGTAAACCAAGCGATATCATGCTTCTTATACAGTTTATCAAGGTGCTGTATATACGCACTCCTCCCTACATGGTATTGAAGCAAATGAATTTTAGGCCAAAGTTAAAAGAACACGCTTCTCACATATTCGCCAAATGCCCAACATATTAACACACAGCAGGACACAGAACCAGCATCAGGCAATCGGCAAAGGAGTTTTCCATCACCACACGTCCCAGATGTGACACGCACACAAGCTGTTCGTTGAAATGCCAGCACGACGAACAAACAAAGAACAAGTACTTTCCCATCCCCGCAATGCCGGAACACACACCAAACTTCCCCATGGAGAAGGCAATGAGATAAAAACTTAGGAAATGTGCAAGGCATAGGAGATTTAGGAGACCACCCTGGAGCTGGTTGAAGCGGATGCTGGCGTCAAGAACGCCCACCGGCCCCGCCCGCTTGGAGAAGTAGCCATGGTTGGGGTCGTACAGCGCTGACCTCACGAAGTCGCGCACCTGCGAATCCCCCCATGTTGTTCACACCCGCCGCAGAGAGATCTCTCTGTGATCGGGAAAAGAAATGAAGGCTCAGCCCTTACCAGAACCGGCTTGTTGCCAGCGAGAATCCCCGATGAGAACAGCGCCGCCGTGACCCACCGCACGCGCAGTGCTCCACGTCGTAGAGCGGGGACATGCGCCGAGAACGCCGGCGCCATAGTCGAGGCGGCGGCGCGGCGCGAGTCTGTGTTCCTTCCCGAAACAGGTGCGGTGCGGTGCGTGCGTTCGAGCCCGATCCGAAACAAGTGTGCAGAGGAACAGACGGAGCTCTTTATGCGGGTCCGCACCCGACCCGAAACGGAACTGGCGCACGCCCAATCCGATGTATATAATGGAGCGGAGCCCCGGTGCGGCGCGTCGAGTCGGCTGCCATTCCCCACGCGCACGCCGCCAAGTCGAGGGGGCCGGAGGAGACAGAGGAGAGGGAGCGATGCCTCGCGGCAAGGCTGGTCGGACAAGCGCCACCGCCACCGCCACCGCCACCCCCCACGCGCGCCTCCCGAAGTTCGCGAAGCGCAAGGAGACGCTGAGGAACAAGGCCGGGGAGCTCGTGACGCGCTGCAACGTCGACGTCGCGGTGGCCTGCACGGGCCCCGGCGGCGTGGGCGACCTGGACTGCTGGCCGTCCAAGGCGGCGGTCGACCCGGTGGTGAGGCGGTACAACGCGCTCCAGCCGGCGGAGCGCGCCAGGCTCAAGGAGGACCTCGCCGACCACGTCGCGAGCGAGGTCGCCAAGGAGCGCGAGAAGCTGACCAGGACGCGGGAGTCCGGCTTGGCCAATGCGTTCGGGTCGTATGACGGCTCCCTCGAGGGCATGTCCGAGGAGAAGCTCAGGGAGCTGCTCGCCTCGATCGAGGCCGCCCTGGTGGCCGCGCGGGGCAGGGTCCTGAAGCTGAGAGCGCCGCCCGGCGGCGCGGCCGATCGCGCCACACTCTCGCCGGGCCTCGTGCGCGACCACGAGGCCGCCGAGGAGGACTCCGCGTCCGCGACGAACAATGTGGTGCCGCCGCCGACAGAGCCGCCGCGGGTGGCGGCGGGCTTGGGCCGCCGCCTTCCGGTAAAGACCGCAACACGCCCAATGCCGTGCCCGTCGACGCGGACGAGGAGGAGGTCGTGACGGAGAACATCGTGACGGGCGAGGATCCCGGCGACGAGGTGCAGATACTGCGGCCGCCAGGCGACGCCGACGCCGACGATACGGAGTGGATGCGGAACCTGGTAGACGATCTCAAGAAAAAGCCCCAGCTGCACAGCAGATATCGGCCCCGTTCGCGCGTGCCCTTCAACCCGCCTTAGATTTTTTTTTTTTTTATCATTTTTCTCTCACAAATTAATTCAGATTCATCTAGATTCCTCTAAGCGAACGGGGTCATCGTATCTATTCGTTACATTAGACGTTTGGATATTAATAATAAAATTAATTATAGAAGCCGTGACTAATCCGTAGAACAAATTTATTAAACCTAATTAATTTATCATTAGCGTATGTTACTGTAGCGCCATATTATTAAATTATGGACTAATTAGATTTAATAGATTCATCTCATATATTAGTCTCAATCTGTATAAATAGTTTTATAATTAGTCTATGTTAGTACTTCAAATAGTGTCAAACATGTTTACTGTAGTCGATATGATAGGGGCTAAATTTTATGAGGTGTGAACTAAACACCCCCTAAAGCTATGTGTACAGTGACAGGTGGTTTCCGACACTTCTTAGAGTCTGCTTATTGCAAAACTTTTGCTCAGCACTTTTAACTCATGTTTTAGGCAAATTGATCTAAACACTTGGGCTAAAAGTGAGAAAAAAGAAAAGATAAAGTTTAATCTATTTACACCTCAAAAGATACAAAACTGAACTAAAACATCTTGGGTGCGTGAAGGACACCTCATACCTCCACCCACTCACCTTCTGAGTGTAGAGAGGAAGGAGACGGAGAGGCAAATCAATATTTTTTTTATAGATGACTAAACTTTTGTCATGGATCTAAACACCTCAAGGACTAAAGTTTAGCAGCAAAAATTTAAAGGCTAATCTTTTACCATGGCAAATGGAACTAAACGGGGTCTTATTTCGGGAAGAGAATCTGTATAGGACAATGAGAAATATTCTCGTGTACTGATTGAAACAAAGAAAGAGACCGCAAACCTAATATGTCTATGAAATTTCTGCGCAATTGCTCAATGACATTGACAATGTGGTCTAGCATTGTGAAAAGATAAAATTCCTTTGAATCTATCACTCTGTAAAATTAGTGTTCAGTAGGAAAAACCAAAGGAACCAACGAGCTTAAGTTCTTGATTTTGTTTTTTTTATTACAAATAACCAAATGAGTATAGCCACCGGAGTACCGGACAACTAGAATTAGACCTATTTTTCTTTTTATATCTGATTGATTGATGAGTTATAATTTTTATTTATTCAAATGACTAGCTAAAGTGCGCGTATTCAACTGTTTTTCAAATGAGAGAAAAATATTATATCGCAGCCACACGCATTAAACAAATACATCTAAAAATAGAATCTATATGGCACGTAGTAATATACTGCATTAATAACCGAATATCTCTGAGTACCTCTACACCATATCATGGAATGAAAATCAATCCACACAAGATCTATTGACAACCGACCACCATCATAACCAAGGTACATCTTTTTATAATATATATAAAGGTTATATTATGTATCCCTACAATCTACATGTGTACCTACCAAACTTTTCAAATCCATCCTGTGGGTCCAATAAACTTGTACTTTTCTCTCCTTGTTTCTCCACTCCATGGTCCATGGTTCCTTATCCTCTAAGTCTTCTTTTGCACTACTACACACAAGTTGGTTGTTCATGGCTACATAAAACGGCGTGGCTCTACTTAAAGACTTAGTAGATATATATTACCAAGGTGGTGTTTAAATTCAGGGAGTAAGATTTAGGATGTCACATCGGGATGTCACATTAAAGCGTTCGGATAGTAATAATAAAATAAATTACAGAAGTTCTCAGTAATCCGCTGAAAGGTCCTAATATGGCTAGAGGGGGGGTGAATAGCCTATTTAAAAACTACAAATCAACTAGAGCAATTTGATTAGTAAGACAAATAGCGTAATACAAACTTGCTCTAACTCTACAAGGGTTGCAAGCCACCTATTCAACAATTCTAGTAGCAATGATTAATGGGCACACAATCTACTTGATCACTACTCACTAAGAGCTCTCACAAATATTACACTAAAGAGCTCCACTAGATAAAATTAAAGCACAAGGCAAGCTCTCAATTCTAATTACACTAAAGAGCTTGCTATATCTAGTTTGCGGAAATATAAATGAGTAAGTGATACGATTATACCGCCACATCGGAGAGTGAACCAATCACAAGATGAAGATATGACCAATCACCGGGAGAATGCCAAAGACAAGAGACAATCGATTTTTTCCCGAGGTTCACGTGCTTGCCAACACGCTACGTCCCCGTTGTGTCGACCAACACTTGGTGGTTCGGCGGCTAAGAGATGTTTCACAAACCTCGTCCACACGATAGGACATCGCAAGAACCGACCCACAAGTGAGGTAACTCAATGACATGAGCAATTTACTAGAGTTACATTTCGGCACTCCGCCGGGGAAGGTACAACTCCCCTTACAATCACCGGAGATGTCCACGAACAATCACCAATTCGTGCCAATCCTCCACCGCTGCTCCAACCATCTAGGTGGTGGCAACCACCAAGAGAAACAAGCGAAATTCGCAGCGCAACACGAATACCAAGTGCCTCTAGATGCAATCACTCAAGCAATGCACTTGGATTCTCTCTCAATCTCACAATGATGATGGATCAATGATGGAGATGAGTGGGAGAGTTTTGGCTAAGCTCACAAGGTTGCTATGTCAATGAAAATGGCCAAGAGAGTGAGCTTGAGCCGACCATGGGGCTTAAATAGAAGCCCCCTCGAAATAGAGCCATTGGCTCAATAATTGGGCTGACTGCGCATCGACCGGGCGCTCTAGTCAAATGCACCGGACGTAGCACCGGACGCTCCGATCGTGAATACCGGACGCGTCCGGTTGGCCTACCGGACGTGTCCAGTCGCTCCCAGACCACCACGTGTCCCGTTCAAACCCAAGTAACCATTGTACCTCACTGGCTGACGACCGGACTCTCACACCGGACGCAGAAACACAAATGACCGGACGTGTCCGGTCACTCCGAATCGGACGCTGCCAGCGTCCGATCAACTATATTGTCGAACACCGTTTTTTTGAATTACACCGGACATGTTCGGTGTGGAGACCAGACATGTCCGGTGGCTGAATTCGTCGCCAAATAACGAACGTGTCCTGTCACCATACCGGACGCGTCCGGTCACTCTGTAACCAGCGCAACTAACTCCTTTTCAACTATCTTATTCACCCTTGCTCAAATGTGCTAACCACCAAGTGTATTACCTTGTGCACATGTGTTAGCATATTTTCATAAATAGTTTCAAGGGTGTTAGCATTCCACTAGATCCTAAATACATATGCAATGAGTTAGAGCATCTAGTGGCACTTTGATAACCGCGTTTCGATACGAGTTTCACCCCTCTTAATAGTACGGCTATCAATTCTAAATGTGATCACACTCACTAAGTGTCTCGATCACTAAAACAAAATAGCTCCTACAATTTATACCTTTGCATTGAGCCTTTTATTTTTCTCTTTCTTCTTTTCCAAGTTTAAGCATTTGATCATCACCATGCCATCACGGTCGTCATGATCTTCGCCATTGCTTCATCACTTGGAGTAGTGCTACCTATCTCATAATCACTTTGATAAACTAGGTTAGCACTTAGGGTTTCATCAATTAACCAAAACCAAACTAGAGCTTTTAATCTCCCCTTTTTGGTAATTGATGACAACCCTTACACAAAGATATGAATTGAGATTTAATTGAATCCACGTTGCTTGCCCAAGCATATTAACATGTGTAAAAGAATATGGACAAGTTTCATGAACTCCAAATGGTAGCAATTGCTCCCCCTACATATGTGCTAAGAGTTTGGATTGTAGCTTGCACATATGCTTAGATAGGAAATATAGGAGTCAATTTCTACCAAATGATGCTAAGGTATACGAGATGGACCTTTAAAGCGTGATACCAATCGGAGTGCACCAATATACCATCCTTAGCACCATTAGTAACTAGACATACACAAAAACTAAAATACCCCATGAGATCAACATTGCAAGTAAGGGTCTAGTTTCCATAAAATGATTTTAAGTCTAGTTACTTTAGCTCAATACCACTTGGAAATACAATCACTAGATTACCTATGCATGCTAGTTTTTTATTTCATCAATCAAGCATATAACTAGCATACACCACACAAGCATGGATATTGAAATTTGAAACTTGTGCCATGCAAGCAAATATATAAAATGCACATTCAAATGCAACATACAAGTTTATGAGCTTGCTCCCCCTACTTGTGTGCTCAAAATTTTAATTGAACCCTTTCCTTTATCATATATCTCATATCTCTCCCCATATGTCAAATACTCCCCTATTACGTATATATTTGTTTCTCTCCCCTTTTGTCAACAATTAGCACAAAAGGTGAGCTCAAATTATAGATAGGTTGGGGTGAAACCATGTGAGATGAGGATCATTTTTCCAATTTGGTTCAATCTAGATTACTTGCAAAGGATATTTAACTCGGTTTGATCTAAGGACAAGCTTCTTCACACCTCTAAATAAGGGTTATCTTGTACCATGTTAATTTAAACACTTATAGCTCATTTTATAGATCAAACACTAGGTTACAAGCCCACAAGCATGTCATATGCTACCACTAGATCATTTTAAACATACAAGCAATAGTGGTACCATACAAGCATCAAATTCATTTGATTTTCATGAATGAACCTATTTGAAATGTAAAAGATGTCTAGATGCACTAATCATGTCCTTAACAAGGATGTATGCCATGCCAATCAATTTTTACCTTGAATTGCTCAAAGGAGAGGCATGTCATATAATAGGGGTGCATCAACACATATTGGAGAAGTTAAGTATGTTCAATTCATTTCTTAGCTTGCAAAACCTCTTTTCATCAAGTGGCTTGGTGAAGATATCGGCAAGTTGATCTTCGGTGCCCACACTCTCAATGCAAATGTCCCCTTTTTGTTGGTGATCTCTTATGAAATGATGGCGGACATCAATATGCTTTGTTCTTGAATGTTGAACCGGGTTGTTGGTGAGCTTTACGGCACTCTCATTGTCACATAACAATGGCACTTGCTTGAATTTAATTCCA